CACGCCCTCTGTCTTCAGAGCAAAGCCTTCCAGAGGAGAAGGCCGCCGTGAGAAAGCTGGACAGTGACCAGATGGGACGCGGGGGTTCCTGGTAGGGGTCGTTTCTCAGAAAGCCAGAGGGGTGTCACAAAGAAGGGAAGAACAGGAGGGAAGAGGGGGCAGGCAGAGGGAAACCGGTTCTTACCGTCCCCTAACTGCCTGCAAGAAAATAAACAAGAAGGGGACCAGCAGTTGGCGTAATGGCAATGTCGCTGGACTCCCATGTAGACCGCGGTTCGAGTCCTGGACCCGGTGGCTTAAACTTATGCCGGTTGCATGTGTGGGCGTGCCCAAGATTCCGAGAGGAGAATGGAGGAGAAGGGATTGCAGCATGGCCCATCCCTCCTAGGGAGTGATTTCTCTCTTTCTGTCTGTCTTTCTGGCAAGTGCACACACCCTATAGCAAAAACCTGCCCCCAACCCCCCCAAAAAAGAAAAGAAAAGAAGAAGAACAAGAATTCCAACTGGGGAAAAAATGAATGAAGTCAGAGATGTGATCTGAAAGAACAAAAGCAGGAGATCTAAGAAAATCTGCCTGAGGGTAAAACAGCAGTTCTAGCTGCAGGACAGTGGCTGAGTACTCCTGCTCTAACAGGCCCCCTACGGATTTCAGATTTCCAGAAATGGATCTTGTAACCAAGACGATGTGTTTGCAGGGGAGGTGTCGCTGAAGGGAATATCCACTCGCTGGAGAGAGAGAGAGACAGAGAGAGAGAAAGCGAGAAGTCCCTTCCCAGAAGGACGGCCACGCTACAATTCCTTCTTCTCCGGTCTCCTCTCGGGACTTCGGGCATGCCTGAAGTGCCTGGGTGATTTTCAAAGCCCCCAGGAACCACTGTCGGGCAGCTGGGAACACAGTGTCTTAACTACCATGCTACCTGCTGGCCCCACGCAGACTCTTTGTAAAAAGAATTATTTTATGTAACTTGATTTATTATTCTTTTTCCATTTGACCAGAGAGATACAGAAAGAGAGGGAAAGTGACAAAGCACACTGGCCAGGTCCAGGACTCAAACCTCGGTCAACCATGTGGGAGCCCAGAGCCTTTAACCACCAAGCCACCTGCCGGCCTCATACATAGATTTTTAAAAACATGGTATAAACAGTGGAAAGAACTCATCCTCGATACTTTCATTTTTATGAGAGATTTTTGCTACTCAGGGTACATGAGCTGGCTGGAAACACAGAGAGAAAAGTGAGAAATCACCCCCCGGGGGAGATGGCCACATTGCAATCCCTTCTCCTCCATTCTCCTCTTAGGATTTTGGGCACACATGCACACACACCTGGCCTGAGTTTCAAGCTGCTGGGTCCAGGACTCGAACCATGGTCAGCCAAGTGGGAGTCCAGTGCCTTAACCACTATACCGCCTGCTGGCCCTCTCATCCTCAATGTTTAATGTGGCTGTTTCTTTGGTGAAAATGTATGAGTTGCATGAAATCTCAGCTAGTTCCTGGTGCAGCGGGGAGAGAACCCTGAGCTGCTGGTTCCCAAGTCACCACTCTGATCAGTATTTACACTACGCACACTCTCAGCTGGTCGGCCACTCGGACGCTTCCTGACAGGACACGCACTGAAGCAAGAGCCCAGTGGAGACCGGCAGAGATAGGGATCAAGCCATGCACAGGGCGGTCTCTCTGGGCCACTCTTTCGGTTTCTTTTTCAACCTTTTACTTCTTCTTTTAAAGCAAAGGGAGATCCACAGATGCCTTTCCCCGCTTTGCAGCATCTAGGCCGGCAAGTGGCATGGGGGCTAAGGGATCTGGACTCCCATATGGCCGATCGTGGTTCGAGCCCTGGACCTGACAGTAAGCTTTCTCACTTTCCCTCTCTCTCTCTCTGTCCCTCTCTGGTCAAATTAAAAATAAAGTCAAATAAAATAATTTTTTTAAAAAACAGAGTTAAATTAGAGGACCAGCCAGGTGGCATGGTGGTTAAGGCAGCTGGATCCCACACGGCCAACTGCACAGTACGAGTCCCCATGTAGTGACATGAGAATCACACCAGGTATATGTGCCTGTATGCCCAAAGTTGTGAGAGGAGAATGGAGGAGAAGGGACTGCAGCATGGCCATTCCTTCCGGGGAGTGATCTCTCACTTTCCTTCCGTCTGTCTCTGTCTCTAGCAAGCGCATGCACCCTATAGCAAACTACGAAAAAGCTGGGACCCGCTGTTAGCGTAATGGCTATGTCTCTGGACTCCCATGTACGGTTCGCATCCTGGACCTGGTGGCTTAAACTCACACCGAGCGCGTGTGCGTGCGTGCCCAAGATCCGAGAGGAAAATGGAGGAGAAGGGACTGTGGCGTGGCCATCCCCCCTGGGGGGGTGACTTCTTGCTTCGTGTCTCTGTCTCTCTCTCTCTCTGTCTTTCTGGCAAGTGCATGTGCCCTACAGCAAAAACCTAAAAAAAAAAACTAAAGGAAAGCTAAAGTTTTCTAAGTATTGGTTATAAACTAAGTACAGCCACTGCCCTAAAATTCACTCCCTGAACATGTATGTGAACATGTATGCTCTCAAACATCCCCTGAATCGGTCTGTCCTGTGATGAGATGAAACGCAAACTTTACACACATGTATCTGCCCGTCCTATCAAGTAGCCACTGACTGCCTTTACTGGAGTCTACACCCCTCTCCAACTTCAAATTCGTTTCCATACACACGTGAGTCGAACCATGGCCAGCCACTCCGAAAACCATCTCTGCTCTAAGGAGGCCTTGGATTAAGCCTTTGTTAATCCCGAACAGAACTGCTGCCACTTTTATGACTCATTTGGCCAAACGGGGCCCGGTTGCTGGATAACGCGCCCGCCCCGCCGCCCTGAGCCCATTACACGTCTTTAAGAAGAACCGTCTTCCACGTAATCTACCCAAAGCCGGCAATTGCTTTTCCCCGGGGTTTTTCCTCTTAACTCAACAGGCCAGGGTGGTCAAGTGCACAGGGGACAACCCCTTCCATGTACAAGAGGCCCCTCCGATTGGGAAACCCCTAAGTATGACCCCGCAAAGGCTCCAACCAGATCCATCCGCGCGGGCTCCAGCTCTGCAGAGGCGAAGGTGCACACCGCAGCGGATCAAACAATACCCTCCCTGCTGCCGCGATCGCACGAGGGTGCGGTGAGTTTTCCAACAGCCTGGAGCGGGAGGCACGATCCACCAGGCCCTTGCAACAAAGGGGAGGGCTTCGACCCAGAATGCTGAATGAAGCGCCTTGCAAAAAACGGCTCAGGGTGCAAGACGCACCTGGAGGGGCCACCCGAGTGCAACGGAGCTCTGACTGACCACGTTCTGGAGCGTCGCGCTCAGCATGCCACCTCCGGCCCTGGGTGCCAATGGATGTCCGGCTTGGCGAGAGGGACCCTCTGATCCTAGAGGGAGCCCAAGGCTTGAGCCTCGGAGGGACCCGCAGGGAGCCAGGGCGCCCGGGATGCGGGATGCAGGAGGCGGTGCAGGGGGCAGGGCGCTCACCTGTAGGCGGCCACCGCGCGGGTCTGCAGGTATTTCTGAGCGGTCATGACTCCCACGAAGAGAAAGTTCCTGTCGCGCGAGA